TTATATGTGTAGAAATATAATTAAACCGCATTATTTACTGTCATCGAAGATGAAGGTGGCTTCATTGTTATTCTCAGATACAATCATTGACTTTCAAAGAATTTCTTTACATCGCCTTCCGGTCGCAAAGTCCTCTTTATCAAAGCCGGGAAAATGTATCTTCTTTAGTTTTCCCTTACATTCCGCCGTAAAAAAAGGAAAACATCACTAAACACACCTGGATGTCTTGTTTTACACCTTGGTCTAACTTCTGGCGGAAGAATTCACTTATTTCTTTTCAAAGCCATGCAGCTGGGGTGCACGCTGATCCCAATAACTGCTTTGGTTACATAATGTGTGACATGGCTGGTAACACACATGAAATGTCATGTCCTGCGGGACTTAAGTTCAATCCCGCTATATTCGTCTGTGATTGGCCGAACAATGTCGAGTGCGAGGATGCTGGAAGTGAAGAGCTGGCAGGATAAAGAAACCGAGTAGGATCCGGTCCCCCCACCCCTGGCCAATGAAGACGTAATATTTGAATACTTATGAATACTTATCCTCCAATAAAACATTGTGACAATATGAATTCTATAAGTGCAAAAATTTTTCTTCTGGTTTGCTGAGACTTAGGCAAGCCTTGACCATGATATGATAATGCGGAGTATCAGAGGCTAATTGATCGTAGATTCTTGTTAATTCCCAACGTATAATTGATCGACTTGTACTTGCCCCGGCGAGCAAGCCCACATCAAATTCTCCAATCATCAGGGAAATATTGTTATGATGCTCTTTTAACAAGCTTAAACCTTCAGTCTAGATGAAAATATGCGATTCCCTGGACTGAAATTAGTTCATCGTTGATGGAGAAAAGATGAAACCGAACTTCATATGACTCTTTTGATTTTGGTAACTCCCGCCAAGCAAAAAGACCGTTGCTAGCTCGTATACAGCCGTCCCCTATCCTCCAAAAGAAAAGGGGACGGCTGTAAACGGGCTCACCAAGAGTTAACAAGCTGAGGGGTAAAAACTTAGCCTCGGGGATTCGTCTACATCATTGATATAAATCGTTCATTTGCTTCAATAATTTTACTTTTCGATGTAGTAAAAGCCCTCCTAGGCGGATGCTAAAGTATCCGTGAGATGTCAGTTGACAGACCATGACTACCCATGAGAGCTTTCCCACTGAGTTAACAATAAAAAAATTAATATTTGATGTGCATGGCAACCAAAACAATCCCTGAAATATGAAACAGCAAGATGGCGCTGAAGAGTTGACTGATTTCAATACGATTCATGATCTTCAAAGGTTTTATTGCTATTTACCCGACTAGGAATTCGAATTATTATTATGAAAATACATTATGTTGCTTTAGAAAATCTGAGCCAATATGGTGCAACACGTTAGCCTCACCATAACTGACTTTCTTCTCTTTTAAGTCCAAATTAATTAAACACAGTTGCTGCAAAATCAAAAATCTCTGAAATTTGGAAATAACAATTGATGACAATTCTTTTAATCCATAGGCTGTTGCTAGAACAATACGTTGCTCATTTTCCTAAGTCAAATGCATGATCGCCTAAATGAGTTCTTCAAGCAGGTGGAATAATTTGATTCATCTTTCAAAAGCTAATGTCAAAGTTATGCATTAAGAATCAATATAATCAACAACAGAATTACTGAACGTCCGTCGTAAACGTTTACAACATATTGAACCCTCGCTTAGAGCTACAGCACGACTGTTCAGCTCTCCGTTATTGCTGTGTTCGCCACATATCACCACTTGGTAAGTAACCGTGAGATGCATAACTCTACCAATTATGAAATCTATTTGTTATTACTGATTTTTAAAAGCAAAGTCGGATAGCTTGTTTTGTTTTGG